CGTACTTTGTGTTTAAAATGCTTGAAAATGTTTCTAACGACAACTGTTAGTGTATTAGAGAAGTTAGAAATCGAATGGTATGGACATAATGCTGTACCCGACAAGCAGGTGTCGTATTTACCGCAGGTAGTCGTTTCGGAACAGTCGGGAGGGGTCGAGAAAGAGCTCGAAATTTCAATGAAAACGATTTCTGGCAGATATAAAACCGTTTGTCTCTTATTCTAGAGGGTTCAAAGGATTTTTTAAGCCAATAAAAAAAAATCGATTTTTTGAAATTTCTACTGTGGTGTAACCCCTTAAATGAACAGAACAGCCGGAATTATGGGAGCCGTGGATACATTTTTTTTATGACCTCAGTATATATTGTATACAGCGCTTATTTACATTATAGTTATTTTTAAATACAAATATTTTCAAACATACTTCAAATATGTATAAATCTGCAGGGAAAAACCCGTCCCAAAAAACTTTATATTTTCTTTTAAAAAAAATTCAGAAAAATAGCATAAAAATTTGGCCTCTAGACTAGAATATTCCTTTATGTTGTGACTATCCGTGCGACACGCGTTTATTAATTCGACAACTATCGTTGTCCGATCGAATACCCTGAACTATCAAATTAGTTTCTCTTTTTTTTTTTTACTGTAATAGTAAAAACGAAAATCAAATCACGTGCGCTACGGCATGGTACAAGATACATCTAACTCTCGTAATGGAGATGTGCACTTTTATATCGCGTTCACCCGCGGATACAGCCAGCCTTACAATCAGCGAGAGGTCGAGATCGAGGCGACGATAATAATATGTTTGCAATGATGAAATTTGATACTGCGATTACGATCGCGGATCTCCGCATCTTCCGTGAATTGTAGAGATTATCGCGACCGTTGACCGCGCGCGACCACATAACCCGCCATTTATTTTCAATAAGAGCATAGGGTTACACGCGCGAAGCATTCTGCTATAAGGTGTTTGACGTGACGATTTATCGATCCACGTGGTATTTACGTTAACATGGATTTTGAACTACACTTACGTGCGCGCGCGACACGTAGAAGCGTTTCTTTACGAAACTGGTACTTGCGTGAAGAGGTACGTCCGGATTAGAAACGAAGGCGAAAACGAAGGTTGAAACAGGGTTGACACGAAGGGGGGGGGAGAGGGGGGTTAAACGATCCACCGAGGTCCTTTTTCGTCCGTATGACCGAACCGGTTCCTCAAGATCGTGTAACATCTTTAAACTTGGTAATCCCACGGCAATTTAGCCCGAACAGATGCGTCACCGTTTTCTGACACCGTCATTTTGTGCGCATCGCGCCCCTGTCTCGACGCAATCTCTATATAGGTACGTACTCTCGCTTTCTTATCACCAGGATACGCATTAAATACAATTGACATAAACGCAGTAAATATAATTGATTGATATTATAATAAATTGACTGTTATTAATAATTTATTATTATTCATGAATTATCTTGTCATTGGCGCGTTTCGTACTTCGAGTTAGGGGGACACACCCGATACCCGTTATTACGCGACGAAACCTGCAAACCGAATTTTTAAATGTGTCATCGCGGCGAAGTTAAAAGGCACCGTCCGGCGATTTTCGCGGGAGCAGAAGCGGTAATGCAATTTTCGATGTACGTCGCGAAAATCTCATTAGCAGCAAAAATTCAATCTAACACGCTCGCCAAACACTACTTGCGTCGTATGTATATTTACTACAGTTAAAATATATCGCGTCTACCAATTTTCGCGGAGCAAAGCAAGCGATAATGCGATTTTCAATGTGCGCCCCCGGGCAAAACCTCGTTACTAGCGGCAGAAATTTAATCTAATATTTTTATTAAACTACTTATACGGTTATGTATCTCCGCCTCTATATTGTTTTGCATGCCGGCCGTTAATTATAATGTGTGCTCCCGATTTTGCGCAGCGGCATAAGCCGACAAAAAACGATTTTCGGTGCGTGTCGCGAAGAAAATTTTATTACATTCGAAAGAGTTGAATTCGAGTTGAAAATATTTGCTGCAGCCCGCACGCCGCTGCTATCAGCGGGGCGACTCTGAAAAACGACAGAGAAGGCCGCTATCATTTTTCGCCGAGGTGCAGCTTTGATAACGATAAATTGGAACATAAGTGCGATAGTAATTAAATAACCATTATCTATGTTGATGCACGAATGTTGTTTAAACACGGTATAGATACAATGGATATGGTAGATTATAATGGTTTATTTAGCACATTCATCATTCGTACACGTATTCATCAATCACGATCGCGAGAAATTCTACGGCGAAGGTTAAAATGCGGGGCCGCCCCGAGTCTTTTTTTTATCGCTCAGCATTAATTATCAATTTTTGCGGCTTGCCTTTTGGACTCTCGTTAAAAGGAAGGCGCACACCGCTAATTGATACCTAATCGTCGTCGGTCAAGGGGCAATCGGGGCAAAACAGTAGTTCGAACGAACTGAAAAATTTATCTTTTTCCCGTTCCTCAGTGCATCTTGCTCGCATCGAGGAGCATTTTGCCTTATCGAGTTGCGCATATAAATCACGAAAGGCGGCTGCTTTATATCTCACAGTAGGTATACGCGATCGGAATGTAAATTTAATTCTTTTTTCTTTCGCATTGTCGTTATATATCGCGTATCGTTTATTCTTTGCAACAATATTGAGGCAATATAACCATAAAAATAGAGCCACTCGAGAGTATAATGTTAAAGCGTCAGGTTCGCCTTTCTTTATCGTATCTAATTTGTAATTTAAAATCGATGACAAACCGATGACGAAATCAACGACAAACTAATGTAACACGAGATTTAACGCTTGCGTTAACGTTACAGAAATAATCGAACGCGTATGCTTTACAAACGGTTCAAAGGAACATTGTGCGACGCAAAATGCTTCATTTGTGAAGCTGTTTATAAAACAGCTTGGTGCTCTACGAACGGGTGACGAAATGAAGGTTCTTCTTTTCTGTCCGGAAGGTGTTTTGCCTGTCTTCGTGGATTTCGACACGGAGTATGAGGAAACACCTGTATGCCGGCATTGCGCATCAAGTATTTTGTGTTACTGAACAGTATTCGTGAATAAGTCAACCTTGTTGTAGCCGAATATTTTTTATTTTTTTTATTATCCAGTAATTTATATAATTACACGGAAGGAACAATTTTGCTGGATCCAGATCTGAAAATAATTTTTGTTCAATAATTAAAATAATTTTGTTGGAAAGTCACAATGATCGCTAGAATATTAAAACGTTTTATAGTAATGGCTTATAATTTTTAACTTTCCAACAAATTATTTTGATGGTTGAATAAGAATTATTTTCAGCTTTGTATTTAACAAAATTTTTAGGCCTTTCAACAAAAAAATCATTCTTTCCGTGTAAAATTTTGATTTTTTTTTTTATTGAATGAGAAGCATAACAAAAATCGTAGATCTTGGCCTAAAAATAACTTTCTGGATTGTTTTTGGAAAGAAAGTAGCGTTCTTTTTTATAAGGTAGTTAAAAATTTATAAAAGAAAACATTTATTGACGATATATCGATAATTATAGTCAGCCAGCTGTACATCAACTTTACGCAAAGATTACACCATCTTGGTGCTCACAGTTTGTATTTCTTAACTCTTTCGTGTGTATTTTACCCGTTTCTGTTTTGCCACTTCTAAAGTGAATGGTATATAGCTCAGTGCATACTTTGCCATACGAAGCGCCGTGTAATATAATATTACATCATGACATTTATTATAAAATTAAATCTCTAAATCAGTAAAGACTAAAAATTGATAAATGACGTCTCGCACGATCATTGCCGTTTGAAAAATAATTATCCATCTGAACATATGTAGTTCAGATATTCGCAAGTGTCCCGCGCGATTCGAATTTCGAAGTCATTTCTTCCTATTTGACAACGTCAACTCCATAGTCCGCTGCTGCTCGCACTCGCGCGATTTCATCACGGAGAGGCTCACGCCGCTCACTTTTCCAGCAATGGCCAGTTCGGAGCTGCCCGAGTTCGAAGCGAGCCGCCGCGTGTTGCGATTATTGCTCTTTTATGGCGCTGTGGCAGAACGATGGTGCGACACGGTGGTTCTCTCCGAACGACCGCTTTTCGTCCTTTCCCACGACATATTTGTCCATCAATCCGTCAGTCATCTGCGAGAAACTCGATTGCAAGGATCGCGTGGTAATTTCCGAGTGAGGGGGGAGAGGCTAGGGGTTATATTGGTCGCAGTCGAATTGCAGTGGCCGAGCTTAGCCATCAGGCTTAAGGTGCCAACAAAATATGCCTGAGGAGAAATCTCATCCATCTCCGTGGAAGAGGAGGAGGAACTAGAGCGGGCTGAATTGCCGGGGTCCAGGTGAATTATCCAGGGTCCGGGTGGAAAAAGGGACGAATATCGCCGATAAAACGCCGTCATGGGCAGCGATAAATTGCTGGCGTGGCGGCACGATTACTGCTGCGCCAGCGACGGAAAGTCCTTGCGAGAGTATAAGGTGGTGGCTCAACGGTCGCGTCGCTGCCGCCGCCGCTGGTGCTGGTGCTGCTGCTTCTGCTGCGGCTGCTGCTGCGGCGGCGGCGACGAAGCTGAGTCGGCTGTTATTCCGAACATGGACCAGCGAGTGAATTTCTGCGTGTAATTAAGAGAAGCAAGAGCCC